CCCTACACGGGTCCGATTTAAATATTTTTGATATGAAGAAAAGAAAAAAATACTTGCACTTTATACTCCTACATTCATACTTCTTCAGACCAGAAGTTGTGAAATTCATACCCGGGGTCAATTTTCAACAGCATGGTATTTTTTCCTTGGCATCTATGACCAAAACGCTTTGAAAATTGACCCTGTTGAATATTGCGCGTGACCCCGAGTACAGAGTTTTGTTCTGCAGTGCATTTTTATTCAGGTACATTATTTACGATATGTATCCACCAGCGCATGTATGATTTTTTTCATAATAATGATAATATCGGACTGAAATCAGAATACCCATATAATATCCCAAACATACGATTTTCAAGTTTGAAGCCACAGTAGTCCATGACAAAATTTAAAAATTCTAAATCACACCAGAACTCCCCCCCCCCCACCTCCTCATCCCGTGATTCTCGGAGTTATAAAATTTAGATAGTTCCGTAACAAAATAATGATCTTGGACCACCACTAGGAAGAAACATTAAGTTTGGGGGGGGGGGTGTTACCGAACAGAAATTCCTTTAAAAAATGTCATCAAACGTTATTATGAGGGGTACAGGAAATCAATGTGAGGCAATTCCACGGCACAGGCTATCCAGATGCTAGATTGCTACATGTTCCCGCCTTATCAGATAGCGCGCTCACCAGAGAGAGAGAGAGAGAGAGAGAGAGAGAGAGAGAGAGAGAGAGAGAGAATAACCTGTCAGGCGTATTTGCCGAAAAAAATATGCATTTATAATGTCTATATATAGCTTTAAAAGTACCTTATCTAACACCCTGACAATGACGGGTGCAGCTACACAGGTTACTCGGTATTGTAAATCCGGGCTACCCATAACATGAATACACACCTTTAAAGTAATCATGTGTGTCTTTTTTATGTACCCCATCCCAAGGAACGATGCTAAATTTGGACATCTGACATTTGGATCGAAAATATAAATATATGTATGATATATGTCATTCACATCACTATTTGGGAGAATCCAAAATCAAATACCTATATATAGTTTAAGTCAGAGCTTTATAGCTTAGAAAAAAAAACTTAAAGGTGGATGATTCATTTCTTATTGTTTTCAGTCATGTATCGAGATTTTTGGGAGAATCGACTAGGACACGCGTTTTAATTTTGTATTTAACCCCCACCCCCAACCCCCCTACACCCCACTAAATGGTTTCATAAAACATACGTATCGCTCCAAGGGCTCTCGACGTAGTTCTTGCTGATCTTGCCTACACGTACAATTTATTGAATAACATTATTCATTAAAAAAATAGGAATTCAATAATATTTATTTAAAAAAATTATATAAGTTCACAAGAAATTCATTTTAATGATGACTCAGTTACTTTTGACGCTAAATAGGAATTTCTACGTGGCCTTAACCAAATAAAGAAAATCTGCAGAAATCAGTTTCAATATGAAAATGAACACAATAAACGGAAAGAATAAACTGCATATTTCTGCTCGGAAGGGACTTATGATCAGTAGTTTATCAGTTTATAAGACAAATTCAATATTACATGAGATTTTTAACTAAAAAAAATGTTCGCCAGATGAACGCTCCGCCCATCCAATGTTTTCACTGGTTAAAAATCTAGAGAAAGAATGTTGTAAACGATAACGATCGATGAGTTTATCATATACTGCATTTTTATTAAAACAGGAAATACTCATTGGAGAAGTAATATAGATCTAATAGTATCTATTGATTATTGTCCGTACGAAAAACCGAATATATTTACTGTGTCTCTCTTCCTATTGTACGAAAGCTCATTGAGCTCATTTTCGTAGGTTAAGAAAAAATATTTTTCGCCTTAAAACTCGAAAGTTTCGCGAATAAACGCGTAACTTTCGCGTTATAAAGCGAAACTTTCGCAAATAAACGCGTAACTTTCGCGTTATAACGCGTTACTTTCGCAAATAAACGCGTATCTTTCGCGAATAAACGCCAAACTTTCGCGTTTTAACGCTAAATTATACATATATAGTCATGTTACTCAGGAACCTGTGATCTTGACTGACAGATAAGAAACATGAACGCAGACGGGGACTTCTATGAATTTATAAATGACATTTCTTCAGAAGATGTAAAAGAGAATTGATGCGAGAAATGGATAGATTAGTGTCGAATTTGCATTTAATCCTAAAACCTTACTAATTAATTAAATGAATATTCCTTTAAAGGTGTTTTGCTTTTCACTTGTTGAATCCAAGAAATTCTTAAGCCTGATATGTTTTTTCAGGAAAGGCTGTTTTTTATCATGAGAGTTCACTATAACTTTACCACTAGTAAAGGAATCCATCATTTTAGACTAGAAATTATACACTTTAAAAATCTGGCTTAAAAGTGGGAACAGTGTCGTATCATTTCATGAGCTTAACCTGCAATATGATGCTTTTTAAAGAATAATTATAATAGGATACTGTTAATCACAAATTTATCGGGGAGGAGGGGTCTACTTTTCTTGATTTTCCTCCATTATTTATAAATGAGGGGTTTTTAAAATGACTATAGCGCTATAAATTAAAACTGCTTAAGGTATACAGCAGAGTTTATATTATATATATATATATATATATATATATATATATATATATATATATATATATATATATATATATATATATATATATATATATATATATATATATATATATATATATATATATATATCTTTGAATAAATTGTCAATGTTCTCGTAAGTAATGGTATAACCACGTGGCGCAACCTAGAATACGATGTTGAATTTCGACAGTGAGTCTATCGGAGATGAATCTTCACATTAAGTTACCCATGTGATTTGACACAATTGTTCCGTAAAATATACAAATTTATCTCATTGTTGTCAATTTTCTATAGAGAGTGTTAAAAATGACGCCGGAAAGGGGATCATTTTCACGAAAGTTTCACTTTGGAAAAACTCGCATAGACTTTGAAAATGTTTGAACAGCGTTGAGAAATACAAAATGTGACGACAAAAGAGATTTAAAAAGAGGAAAGACACATTCAATGGCGTGAAAACATAAAAATTTCAGCTTGTGATGATCCAAGTTTAAAACAGTCTTTCGTTTTTCATTGTAATGAATAAACTAGATCATAAAAGTAAAAGAAAATGTAGACTTATGCAAATGTCTGTTTTACAGAGAAAGTTTCGCGTTATAACGCGAAAGTTTCGCGTTATAATGCGAAAGTTTCGCGTTATAACGCGAAAGTTATGCGTTTATTCGCGAAAGTTTCGCGTTATAACGCGAAAAATATATTTTTTTTTTTTACCAACGAAAATGAGCTCAATGGGCTTTCGTACTATTGACCAACAAAAAATGAGGCACGTAATTAAAATAATTTTTATTGGTTAATTAAAATTTCTCGCGTTACAAAGTATAGCGAGAAATAAATGTCCTAACGACAAGTAAACAAATTGCTTGAGTCGGAGCGGAAGTGTTGATAATTGTTGTGTACTGAATAATAGCCAATGGGAATGTGTTTTAGGTTATGACGTGTTCGAATGGGTTAAAGAGATCTCTATAGCTAGTAATTCATTCTCCAGCGCACGCTCTACCCTAGCAAGTCAAATTTTTGTACATTGTAATAAATTACAATTTCACATACTTAGGTTTGTGAGAATGAGTCTGCCATTCATTTTGTTTAAGGGAAGCATAGTTGTGTTTAAAATATATGTCATGTATAGACTTAGAAAATTTAAATTCAGTGTCGTTTTTTAATGCACCCATAATCGAAGATTCGGGGGCATATAGTTTTTGCTCTGTCCGTCCGTCCGTCCTTCTGTCTGTTTGTCCGCAAAAACTTCAATCTTGACCATAACTTTTGATCGATTGGAGCTATTGCTTTCATATTTCACATGTTATTCCTTGTGACAAGAACTTTCTTTGGTTACAAATATATTTGACCTCTTGATCCTGACCTTGGAGTTTGATTCACTTTTGCAAAATTTTCCCAAACTTTATTCTTGGTCATTACATTTAAACGGTTGGTGCCAGGGCTTTTATACTTTTACACGTGTGTATTCCTTGTGACAATTAAGACCTTTCCTTGGGTACAAATATTTTTGACTTTTTGATCTTGAACTTAGGATTTGACCCACTTTTGAAAAACTTTAACCATGGCCATAACTTTTGATCAGTTAGTGCCAGGGCTTTCACATTTCTCGGTATATTCCTTGTGACAAGAACTTCCCTTGGGTATGAAAATCTGATCCAAATTTCTTCTAATATACACTGAATTCCGAATCCTGGAATTACAGTGTAATTCAAATTTTAGTTTGATCTAAAGGTGAATCAAGACCTTGACCCCAGGGTCATGGTCACTGGGCCATGAAAAAGCGGAAGAATCTCAGACAATTGATTGTTTGTTTTGGTTTGTTTTGTTGTTGTTGTTGTTGTTTAACGTCTCTCTCGAGAATTTTTCACTCATATGGAGACGCCACCACTTGCCGGTGGAGAGCTGCAAATTTTTTACCTATATTCGGCACTTAGGGCCATTGAGCAGTGAGGGATCTTTTTCGTGCCAGCACCTACTGTGACATGGGACCTCGGTTTATACGGTCTCATCCGAAGGACCGGTCTCCACGCCCCACAGTGGGATTCGAACCCGCGACGTAAGGATCAAGTCCTTACTGCGCGATTCTAGAGCAGACGCTCTAAGCACTGCGCCACGCGGGCGACGACTATTGATTGCAATGAATAGAAGCGTAAAAATGCTGTTGCCCGCGATATTATATTAAGGTGTTTTATTTATTTCCTTGAGTCATAACCAAGCTTACAGGCGAAAGGCGAAAACATTTATTTGTGCTAAAAGTGCAAAATTTTAAATACAAATTGTAATTGTACTACAGCCTTTAGTTATATCAGGTGATCATCATATACATTTTTGCGGGCATTTTGGTATAAGGCAGCTTCTTTGCAACTGAAAGAAGCAATGTCAGAATGTTTCTAAATATATTACTTCTTTTTCCTCGTAGATGCCAACGTTTGTTTCCTCATGACAATGGACTATCGTGCTAGTTAATGATACAGAGACATTATTGAGTTACACAGACATGTTTACACCCTTGAACGACTGTGGGCCCCATTAACCATCAGAGACTGTGATTCTGAAAATTTAGGGGGAAAACCATCCAAAAACTGATTGTCCACAGGAGCATGCGCAAACTCTGGGCATTAGACTGACATTTCAAGGTATGCGAAGACATAGTCTTTAAATCTGACATTTCAAGGTATGTGCAGTCTATCACACAGTAACATACATTTATAAATAACGTCTTTTCTTTCATGAAAAATGTAAATTTGTGGATTTCAGAAAGAGGGATTCTATGTAAATTAGTTAAATTAATGTAAATTAATGTATTATCTAGAGAGAACAACATAAAATGAACACTTTCCAAAAAAATTAAGGTCACCCACTTTCTCAATAGCCTTATAAAAGCTTGGTTAATATACACAAAATATACTATGACCTACATTTCAGAGAGGTTGGCGGATTTACGGGGGGGGGGAGGGGCAGGGGGAAACGATTCCAGTATATGTCGGTTTGTAGGTAGGCATACAGCACAATTATTTCTGCACTCTGCAGTACAGTTGACTATTGAATATACTTTTTTGTTTAAAAACACAATTTATTATCAAGCATGAATAAATAAAATCATATCTAACTTTGAACACAGTAAAAAATATTTTGAACACAATCATTTGGGTATTAGTTTTAAGGTTTCAATGTCATTTTTAAAATATTTGTTTTAGAATATGATGATTTTCCTCTCACATGATGCTTAGAATGCTCGATTATGCTGCAATAAAAAGAAGATGTGTTTGTGAAACAGTGATGCCCCCGTATGGCAACTTATAGCAAAAGTTAAACTTCCTCAAATGCAAATCAAAGTACCCAAAGTAAGCCTTGTCTCGGGGAATATACTTGTGAAATATGAAAGCCCTAGCAGCAACCATTGAATACATATGGAAAAGGTTAAAGTTTTTCAAAAGTAAGTCAAACATCAAGGTCAAGGTAAAATGGTCAAAATTGGAAAGGCCTTCTTACAAGGATATGAAAGTGGCACCAACGTTCATTTGTTTATTTTTGTTTATTTACCAATTAAGGGCCGTCATGGGGCAAAAAGAAAGTACATTGTAAATTAACATTTATAATACATGTAATACAATATACATACACACAAGAAAGAAAGAGTTGCATGATTGATAGGAGAAAGACATAAAAAAGAAGGAATAAACCAGATAGTTTTTATACATATACATGTACATAAATTCTGCACAAATAAAAATATTTATTGTCTGGTGATATATTTTGGTATTCAGTCAGAAACAAGATGCCCTCTGACATCCAGATTACATATATGTACAACCAAAACTGCACATTCCTATGGAATAGTGGAGTTTGTGCGTTGGGCGCCAAATATGTCACAGGTCGTGAAAAATCAAGTCGTAACCGGGACTCAAACCCAAGGCCTCTGGCATACCGTCATGACCGTGCCAGCGCTCTAACCACTGAGCCATTGACACACAATATATCGATTGGTATTCACACACCTATAAACCCGGTGACATACATATATAATTTACTACATGCCCAGAAGAACATTCAAGATTTTCCTAAAATAAGGGGGGTGGGGGTGAAAGTGAACGGATAAACAAACAGACAGTGATTTTAAAGTACAATGTACTGGAACTATAGAACAGCCAAAAATTCCCACAACCCAAGAAATTCTCAAACATCAAACGGTGAAGAAATGTGTCAAAATGTTCTTAACAATTTCAAAGTGCGAGTTAGAGAAGGGAAGCTGATGAAAGGATGTCATTTAGAGAAAGTCATTAACTATTGAAATGACAAAAAAGTACTCTGTACTTAAAAGGCTGTTAAAATAACATTATTTGACAAATTAACTAAATTATGCTACCAGAACAAACTTACATCTTTGTTTTATTTGTTTACATATTTTGATATAAATTCATTAACATTAAATCAGCATTCCAAAAGTATGAAAGTGTTACCTTTCTTTTCTTTGTATTAATAAGCATGACTTTAAACGAATGTATTTTGAATTTATACGTATTGTTTCATTTTTGGATTTTTTTAAAGGAGGTGCGATCGGACCTAAATGTACCCCCTTCCCTTCCTACTTTCTTGTAATGTAGTCATATTTGCCTGTATAACATTACTGTATCTTGGGAAGTTGTCACCCCGATTTTTCTCAATACATGTAGTTTCAAAAGTAAGTCAAACATCAAGGTCAAGGTCAAATGGTCAACATTAATGGTGCCCAAGGAAAGGCCTTCTTACAAGGAATACAAATGTAATATATGAAAGTAGCACCAACCGTTCAAAAGTTATGGCCAAGGTTAAAGTATTTCAAAGGTAGGTCAAACTCCAAGGTCAAGGTCAAATGGTCAAAGTTGTTTGTATCCAAAGGAAGGTCTTGTCACAAGGATTACTCATGTGAAGTATGAAAGCACTAGCATCAATTTTCAAAAGTTGTGGCCAAGGTTAAAGTTGAGTTAAATTTGCAAAACTGGGTCAAACTCCAAGGTCAAGATCAAAAGGTCAAATATGATGGTACTCAAAGAAAGGTCTTGTCACAAGGAATACATATATGAAATGTGAAAGCAATAGCTCCAACCAATCAAAAAGTTACGGGCAATGATAAAGTTTTTGCGGACAAACAGACAGACAGACTGACGGACAGGGCAAAAACAATATATCCCCGAAACTTCGATACGGGGGCATAAAAATTATCACGCCGGAGCATTCAGCATTTATCCCCCCTTTTTTTTCAAAACCCTGGATCCAGAACCGGAAAGGGCGATAGCAACATATAGAATTAAGTACCCTAAGCTAAGGAGCTAGAACTGTTTTGATTCCATTTTAATCAACGATCTCTTGCGATAAGGTTGAGGAATTTGCGAAATAATGCAGGGCCATCTCCAAGTTCCTTCGCTCCGGAAGCGAACAGCAAAATACGCAAAATGTCTGGTTCATATAAGATTGTGCAACGGCACATACATCTAATATTGTATTAGATTATCTCAATGAAACTGGCTTTGGGTTGAGCCGCAGGCCCTTAGATTGCTTTAAAAAAAATATCTTTTTTATACCCCCAATTTTTTAAAGTCGGATTTAAGCGATCCAAATGCCAGTGGTTGAACTAAAAAAAAATGCAATTCGCGCTAATCGCTGATATTCCCCTAAGAACAATTGTTGGCAGAAATTTTGAGAGGTGGATCTAAGTTTTTCAACTTTCGTCGTTAACCTCTAAAACTTCTAAAAGAATTAAGAGTTCGTAGAAACACGAAATCATCTGTGAAGGAACCTTAAAACATGAAAGTTGAACAAAAGCCAAGGTCTGATGGCAATGTTGAACAAATATGACCTTGTTCTTTGATATTCTTTGACCTTCAGGTCAAAATTAAATTCAATTCAACTTTATTCCCCCCCCCCCCCCCCAAAGGTTAGTTGTTATATACAATCTAATATTAAATTCAGACTTCTTAGACTTATACTCTGTGGAAACATTTGAGGGTATTGTCCTATGGACCATATAGATTTGATTGTCATTGTTCCATGTCTCTAGATACTAGCTATCAGTATTATAACCTTTAACATAAAGTCAAGAACAACGACTTCGGTAGCGTTAAAATTTCTGAACAGATAAACAGATAGAAAATAAACCATTTAAAAAGAATTTTTTCGGATGTCATATATGGCATTCATTTTTACGAAAGCCTATTAGGATCAAACTCTGGTAAAAAAAAATTAAAAAGGCGTTATAACGCGAAAAAAGGCGTAATAACGCCTTTTGAAAAGGCGTTATAACGCGGAAAAAGGCGTAATAACGCAAATAAAGGCGTAATAACGCCTTTCCAAAAGGCGTTATAACGCGAAAAAAGGCGTTATTACGCCTTTCCAAAAGGCGTTATTACGCCTTTCTAAAAGGCGTTATAACGCCTTTCCAAAAGGCGTTATTATGCCTTTCTAAAAGGCGTTATCACGCCTTTCTAAAAGGCGTTATAACGCCTTTCTAAAAGGCGTTATTACGCCTTTCCAATAGGCGTTATTACGCCTTTCCAAAAGGCGTTATAACGCGAAAAAAAGGCGTTATTACGCCATTCTAAAAGGCGTTATTACGCCTTTCTAAAAGGCGTTATAACGCCTTTCCAAAAGGCGTTATTACGCCTTTCCAAAAGGCGTTATTACGCTTTTCCAAAAGGCGTTATTACGCCTTTCTAAAAGGCGTTATTACGCCTTTCCAAGAGGCGTTATTAAAAAGGCGTTATTACGCCTCTTTTTTTTTCAATACATGACTTACGTAGCCCACTCTGGGGGCTGATTATAATTAGATTTCTAGGAAAAAGATTTTTAAATGTGTAAAATATTTTCAGTGTTAAACCAACTTAGTCCTTCTCTGATGCCAGACGCTTCTACCAAGGTGTATGTATGGAACGCCGGGACTGTCTTATATGAGGATTAAACATTATATGCAGTGTTCTCTTCATTATATGTGGTATTATTTTAATTATATGAAGTAGTTTTTACAGTTTATCGTGTGCAACTTCCATTATATACAGTACTTCTTTCATTATATGATGTAGATGTGTCATTATATTATGTACATCTATCATTATATGAGGTGTTTTTATCATTATATGAAGTGCTTTTAACATTATATGCGGTAGATCTACCATTATATGCAGTGAACACAACAATATATTATGTACTTCTCACATTTTATACAGTATATTCATCATTATATGTAGTATTTCTGTTATTATGATGATGCTGATCGTTAAATATTATGTCCGGTCCTGTTAGCATTCCGTGCGGTAGATTTTGCATTTCGTTATGATGTAGACACAGTATTATATGCGGTGCTTTCTTCTTTATGTGTATGATCTTTCGGAAGCTACCTTTCGGAACTCTCTGTTAAAAATTCAGTACCTTGAGAACTTCGACCTTTCCTGTTGAATTCAGTACAATAAAAGCCTGCGTATAT